GAGGCTCCTGAATTAAAGGTGGTGAGCACAGTCAGTGCCATGATTTCACCTGCCTTGCAACATCCAGAGCCAGGCTTTGTATGAGTAACATGCTCTAATGAGCACTAAAAACTGCCTTTCTACACAGTGACATGTAAAAATAGTACTGTTCTAACGTGGACTGAAGTGCAACAAGTGCTTCAAAGGAAATAAATCAATTACCTGGGTAATAAAGTACCAGGATGTTTTGGGGAGGGAGACTATAGGAATGTTCAGTAAGTCCTAAAACTGACTGAAAAAAATCATTTGGTGAAATAGTTTTCAGGCTGAGAGTGCTAGCATAAGAAATTACAGTTTTGCCCTGCCAGTCTTAAAAAACTTGAAGCTTTTTATTTTTTCAGAACAAAATGAATACTGCTTTTAAAAGAAAACAAAGCTCAGATTCAAGTAATTTAAACCACCTTTCATACAAATTCTTTAACACAAATGTAGCTGCCTACTTTTAGAAGTGTGGCACAAATTAGTACAAATTCCTATAAAAGAATGCTCATCTTTAGCTTCGTAGGCATAGTATTGTGTTTTCATAATACCACTGAATTAAAAAATTAAAAAGCTATTAAAAACAATGCAGGTTAGGCTCCAAATTCAGATAAAAATTGGTTCTAGAAAATAAGAATTATGTACCCATTTCATACAATTTCTGCTGCCACTGACAAGCAAAGTTGGCAGCTGAAAAAAGGACTTCTATCATTTTAATAGTTTATATATAAACATACATTAATTTCATTTTTGAAGTTAATATCCCAGTCAGTTTCATACCTGTAAATCCAGTGACTTCAAGATGCTTGCACTTGACACACAAAGTTGAATCAGATCCCGTGTGAGCATTTTTAAAAGACACTACTGTTCAGATTGCTAGAGATATATTTTTTTTAATTTCTTTTCAAACATAAAATACAAAAACTAGGTTTTACAACAACTACCATCATCATCAACATGCAAAAGTCAGTATTCCAACATAAAAAAAACACTACATCTGCCTCTTAAAATATTATAAAAGCTATATAATTGTATGAATTCAGGGCGTTTTGGCTAACAGAAAATAAAAACATAATGTGCTTTTCAGATAGTCAGGTGTCCCACTGATAAAATAAGTCTGATGAAACAAAGGCACTTCAGCAGGCTAATTTATCTCCAGATTTTCCTAATGTAAAGCACTAGACAACAGATGTAGTGCACTGCCTTTTCATTTGCACAGTGTTTGATCAGAAGTGTTGTGAAACTTCATCACTTTTTAACTAACAAGACTTTATACTGGTGCCCATTCATTTCATCCTCTTTGGTACAAATTACTGCATAAAAACAAATGAGACAACTAAACATTCCGACATCCTGGATTATTTTTGGTGCATCACCTCTAGCTTTATGGTGGTAAGTAATGTCCCTAATCAACACATAATTTTTACTTTCAGGTTTGTAATACCAGAGCTCTATTTTCTGATTGCACTATAAGGACTTCTTTTCTCTTAATCAAATGTGCTTTGTAAGTGGTTCTCCCACCCTTTATTTTTCATTTATAATATCTAGCATTTGGTAACAATCTAAAAATTACTGTCAATGAGCTTGCACTTAAAACTATACGTACATAAATAAAGGTTTTCTTTGCAAAAGCTGACAGTTCAAGAAGTGCCTTGTGAAGAACGGAGACATAAGTCTTGCAAACATTTGTGTTCTTCAGAAAGAATTGATTCCACCAAAGCACAAACACGTATCAGTTTGCAAACTAGCATCAGAAAGAAGCAGTACCCTTTCCAATTTTCCCTGTTCGTTCCCCGCTCCTTAGAAGAGGCTCACAGACATTTCCTCCTTATTCTCAAGGTAAGCAACCTCCAGATTCAAAGAAGTGAAAACATCTGAATGTTTCCCCAGCCTTTCCAAGAGCTGTGTGCCACGAATCCTTGCTAATTTTTGTATAGGCCTAATTCTGGCACCAGCATTTTAACAGTCTGTTAATGCCACAAAAGGACAACAGGAAAAAAATATTAAAAAATAAATTCAGTAACTCCTAAAAACTCATGTGTTGAAATCATATAGAGAAATATACAAAACCATTAGTTTGTGACACTTCACTATGACATTCTGTCTTCAAACATTACACATTACATAGAATGTTTTGTGGAATTAAAATTTTTAGAGCTCAGAATAGTCAAACTCTTTTTTAAAATGATATAAAACCAGAAAGAATTCTAATCTCTAGCAGGTAATACAGGTTTTTCCAGCACATAAATTCCAACATACAGCTGGAAAATTAAGACTGAGATAATATATTTTGAAATATTCTGTATGAATATAAATCATAATCATAATTTTAGAGTTGGATTTACAATACTTTTTCTTTGACAACCAGATACCTAGTCTGCCAGAGAAAGAGAACAACGGAATGCCAAACTTGTTTCCTTTGAACTCATGTAAATAAAGCCATTTATAGTAGTCTGTATTTTTTGATGATGCAAGTAAGTTTGAAAACCTAGGTCTTTTTAGTATATGCAATGAAAAATGCATTTAAAAAATCTGAAATATTACTGTAAGTGACCAAAATTTCAAGTAAAGACATATGGACTTAATATGAATTCCTCAAAACCATTAGCTTGTCAGGGATTTTCTATTATGTTCAACAGAATGCATAATAATCTCTTTTTGAAAAGGGAGCTATCAGAACCAATGCAACTCTGCAAACAGGGCAATATTGAACCTCAAGGGCACCTTTCAGAAGAAATGTGCATATACAGATTGATTCCTACTAATGTATACAACAAAGCAAAGAATGAAATGGTCAATATCTGAGCCTAGAAAGTCATATTAAAAAATCCAGTACAACGGTACATTTAAAAAAAAAAAGTTCTAGTGAAAATATATTTGATATTGGAGAACAAAATTCCTGTTACCTAGAAAGAGAACCAAAGGCATGCTAATATGACAAGCCATCTTCACACCTGAAATAGATGAATCACTAATTAAACTTCTTTTAGGTTATTGAAGCCAATTTAATTACATACTTATTTGCACACTGTAGTGGTTTGGCCCTGACTAGATGCCAGGCACCCACCAAAGCCACACTTACCAATCCCTTGCACACAGTGGACAGAGGAGAGAAAATCCAATGGAATGTTCCTGAACTGAGGTAAGGAGAGATCACTCACTGAATACTGTCACAGGCAAAACAGACTCACTCATCTTGGGGATATTAACTGAATTTATTACTGTCAAAACCAGAGCAGGATAATGACAAGTGAAATAAATCTTAGAAACACCTTCCCCCCCACCCCTCCCTCCTTCCCAGCTCTACTTCCTCCCTGCAGTGACACA